AAATAGAATTATAAGAGACTGCTCTGAAACATTATTCACCAACAAGTTGAACAACCTAGAGGAAGTGAATAAAGTCCGAGAAACATGCAACCTACCAAGACTGAATCATGAGGAAATAATAAATCTGAATAGACCTATAACTACACTGAATACAAGAGACTCTGAAAGTAGTAATCAAAAAACCTCCCAGCAAAGAAAAGCCTAGGATGAGATGGCTTTAGTAGAGAATTCTACCAGACATTTAAAGAAAAATTAATACCAATCCTTCTCAAATTGTTCCAAAGAATAGAAGAGGATGGAACATCCCTGAGTGTTCTATGAAGCTAGCATTACCAGATACCAAAACCAGACAAAGACACAAGAAAGAAAAATCTACAGATCAATATCCCTGATGTATAGTGATGCAAAAATCCTAAACATAATAGCAGCAAAACAAATTCAACAGCACATTGAAAAGATTATACATCATGATCATACATCATTTATATCTGGAAACAAGAACATACCAAAATCAATCAATGTAATGTAGCACACATAAAATGAAGGACAGAAACCACATTATTATCTCAATTAATGCAGAAAAACATTTAACATAATTCAACACCATTCATGATAAAAAAAAATCCAACAAACTAGGAATGGAAGGAAACTATTTCAACATAATAAAAGGCACATTTGAAAAGCCCACAGCTAGCATTATATTCAATATGGAAAGGCTGAAATTGTTTCCTGTAGTATCAGGACCAAGGCAAGGATTCAGCACAGTATTGGACATTCTAGCCAGAGCAATTAGATAAGAAATAGAAATAAAAGGCATACAAATTGGAAAAGAAGTAAAAATTTCCTCATTTCCAGATGACATGATCTTATTTTTAGAAAATACTAAAGTTTCTACAAAAGTACCTGTTAAGAACGAATAAACAAATTGAGCAAAGTTGCAGAATACAAAATCAATACTCAAAAATCAGCTGTATTTTAAAATCAAAACCACAATGAGGTATTACCTCACACTGGCCAGAATAGCTGTCATAAAAAGTCTACAAATACAAAATGCTTGAGAAGTTGTAGAGAAAAGGGAACCCTTGTATACTCTTGGTGGGAATGTAAATTGGTGCAACTACTATGGAAAACAGCATGGAGGTTCTCTGAAAAACTAAAAATATCATATGATCCAGCAATTCCACTCTTGGGTATATACCTAGAAAAAATGAAAACTCTAATTCAAAAAGATACATACACCGAAATGCTCATAACAGCACTATTTATAATAGCCAAGACATGGAAACAACCCAAGTATTCATCAACAGATGATTGAGAGGACAGACAAGTTCAGAGATGTTGCTCCCAGATGCTTATGTTTCTCTGTTGGTTTCATTTTCAGGCAGGATTTTTACATGTGACAGCTGAGTTCCCATGATCCTTTGTGACTTGTGATCCCAGAGGAATAGAGCCCCCTCCTAGTGCCTGTACATAGATAAAAAATCATACAGAAGACTCTGGTTGTCCCAGTTCAGGTCACATGTCCATGATGGATCCAAGGACAGTGGCCCGGGGTATAAATGATTTTGATTATCAAGCCTAGACCATCTGCTTACTCCTGTAGCCAGATTCTATTGCTAGAAGTAAATGGAAGAAAATAGACACAAAATATTTTTCTTCTACTGCAGATGATTTGACAAAGTCTCACAAAAATAATACCGAAGGGGCAAACAGATGACTGATTCCATAAAATTTAATTATCAAAGATTTGTGGTTGTATTTCTCTTTTATACTTCCTCTTTTACCTAATTGCATAAAAGCACCACATTCAGATATTTGAAAAGAAGCTCTTCACTTTTGGTCTAAAATTATTTTGAGTTGAAATTATTTTTCACTAATTTTACCACTACATTTAATTTTAATAACTCACTCTTAAGCCTTCAAGTTCCTTGTTTTTGTAGTGAGAATATAAAATTGTATAAAGGAACCAGTAAGGTGTAAATTTAACATAAACAAACAAAACCCTGAAATGATACAAAAAAAATGTTTAGGAAGACCAAACTGCTGCATGTTAACTGAACACTAGTCAAGATTAACTGACCAAACAGAACTTAGGATTCATACACCACCTTTGAATAAGCAGTTTTTATTAAGGACATGGAGAGATTTGGGGGAAAATCATAATGTTGCCTGATAATTGTATCAAGTCTTTCGTGACTTTAATCCTCTGTATTAGACAAGATTTTTTTTTATGCATGATAGAAATCCACCTCAAATTAGCCTAAGGAGGGTGTGATGGAATGTATTTCATTCCAAATTTATAAAATAGAAATAAACAAAATATTTAAGTGGGTTTTTTTTTTTTTTGAGAACTACCAAAACACTTCCTGACGCTTTGATAAACTTCCACAGGCCACACTCAGAATTGGTACTTTTCCCTACATGGGTATTTTCAAAATCAGCTCCCCCGTGAGCCTGGACTCCACAGCTCCCTGGGAAGCTTTTAAAATACATTGACTGACAGACCTAACTTCTGACCAACCTAATAAGGTTTTTCCTGAAGGATGCTCAGGAAATCTCTCTTCTTTTTTTTTTTCATATATAGTCTTCCAATATGATTCTAACACATCCATCCTGGCATCTGGCAAAGTGATCAATTTAGGAATCACACACTCAAGTATCCTCTCTCCATTCAGTACCTCAAGGTCAAACAGCTGGTGCTTGCCCATTTGTCCTGTCCATGTCTCTCCTCGGTTCTCAGCTAAACATATCACCCAGCTGAGTCCTCACCACAGGATGCTCTGGGAAGCACCCTTTGGCGGAAGTGTACACATAAATGTCAAAATGTAGCTTAAAAACAACTGCATCAAAATTTCATCTACATGGTAAAAACAGTCCCGAGGTTGTGTTTGCTTTTCATTTGCTTATATCTAAGACTTTTCCATCCCTGCAGCGTCTGATATTTCTTAACAGTTTTTTTTTCCCCTAGTCCCCTACCTTCCATATTCACATACTTTTCTTTCTACATTGGAAGGTAATTCTGGGTTCACTTCTCTCCCGATTTTTTTCAGGCTCTAGCAGCTGTGGATAAAGTTTCACATGTGATGCTTAACTCTTTTTATAAATAGAAATTGTGGAATAAAAGCTGAGGTCCCCTTCCACTTAGGGGTCTGAAAAGGAACTCTCACTGGTCAAATACGGGGCAGTTTGAACACTGAAAAGAATGACTGCAATTGTTTGAAACATTGAATATATAAAAGTCTTTAAGCTTATGGGAGTGTAAGGGAATGAGAGAGAAGAAATCTCATTTATCATGATTGGAGGTAGGAAGTGCAAAAACACTTTACACTAAATGTTGATAATTAAAGCTACAGAGTTAGCATCCAATTTGCTTTTCCTGTGTGAATTATATTCAGGGAAACCAAAGAGCTCCAACTGATGAAAAGTTCTTCTTAACAGAATTATTCCAGGGAATAAAAGTGGAAAGCATTAGAAAATGGACAGTTTTTAAACTAATAATGAATTCGTCTATCTAGATAATAATCATTAATAGACGCTAAAGTAATTACAGATATTCACAAGGTGCCCAAACATCGCCCCAAAGATTACTTCCTGGCTATTAAGAGGAAAGTGCTTCTACACAATGAGGAAGTCAGCCTGCCACCACCCAAACCAACTCAGCATCACTATACGTGGGACAGTTGGCCACTGTACCTTCTGACATGATGCAGCGTGAAGCATTTTTGTCCAGAATGTTGAACTAGAATCTGGTTGAGTTTCAGATCTATTTCTAGTTTATAGGAAACTTAGAGGCATAAAGGAACAAATCTGATGGCACCTTGAGGAAGGAATAAGAAAATCCAGAAGATGGGATATTCTGCAGAACAGCGGCCTCATTTCTCAA